CAGGGAAAAATCTGTAGATGGAAAAATCTCCATACAAGTTCTTTGTGCATTTTTCTTTTTTTCTACTTGTTACTTTGCACTTTTTGTTAGAAAATGTTTATTTACTGTTTATTCAGGTTTTTTTTAAGGTATCTAATATTTTGATATTTAATTTCCATGATCTAAATATTCTTAATTTAAAGTTTGTTGTCATTTGGAAGTGTGCAGGTCTTCTTGCATTATTATGCTGTTACATTATGATTATATATTCAGTGGCATAAAATGGTCTTTAAAATGACAATAATATCGCTTATCGCAATTATTTCTGGGGCAATATATCGCACAACAAAAAGTTGTTATCGTGACAGGCCTAGTGGTACTCTATTGGCCTACCTGCCCCTACTGAGACACTTCAAACACGTACAGCCACGATGGTTTTGAATTGCTTGAATCACTTTGAAAAGGAAGGTACCATTAAGGGCAATAATTAAAATATTTAATTTATAATATTATAAAAAAAATTATATTGTATATAAAGATAATGATTCTGAGAAAAATAAAATTAAAGGGTACATTTATGCTGAGAATATAGTGATCATCTCTAATAAATTTCAAATTGGAAATGTTGTTAGGTTATATGCCATCAGCATCAGTGAATTATGACCTTTCCTCCCCTCTAAGAGACATTGAGTACGTTTACATGGACATCAGTAATCTAATTATTTATCTTATTCTGAATAAGACAATATTATGATTAAGGTGTTTACATGAGTTGCTTTTAGAATATTCCTTTCATGTTCCCGTTTTACACGTTATAATACATAAATCGATTAATGGCGCATGTCATTACGTTCCCACACGACGCCATCCGACGATCTCTCCTGAATTTCACGTATCAACATACAGTTTGTCTTCGGTACCATATACAGTTTAGGGTGTTTCATTTTTAATTTTACGAAAGCTTCAAGTGCAGTTAATTATTTGTCATGCTATACGCAAGACGACGACGGATAAAAATGTGCCTTCTTGAAGCCATGCTCTTTTGTTTGCCGACAAATGGTTTACCACTGCCGTGTGTGTATCCTGTCGCAAAATGTCGTGAAAAGTCCTACACAACGGTGATAGTGTGATTAAGGTGTGTACATGTCTATACTGCACTTCAATAATGAGACTAAAATAGGAATACTCCACGTGTCTTAATTCGATTTCTGTTTACTTCGAGTATGACTTTAGCCGGATTAAGGTAATCAAAAATCTTCGACACCCAAAGCACCAGCTCCGAACCAGGAAAAGTGGTTCGTAAATAGCACCAAAACATTGCTGTTCTAGAAGTAAGAACCGCTTGCATCAGGGGCTGGGGACGGGGTTACCGTGATCAACAAGATTAACAGAAATTTTGACCGCCATTTTTGAAATAGCAGCTAAACACGTACACGTTGAATTCGCCATGTTTGGATGCCGATGAAGATTCACAAAGCCATGAACATCAATAGCAATGCAACGTCCACCATTGCTGATTGTGTGTTTAGGCTTGATCGGGCTGCATCGGTGCTGCGCGGACCGGTTGGTGTGCCGCAGGAGTGATTGGAAAGCAGACGACTCTCTTTATGCTTTTGGATCGCTTTCGCGGTACTTTGGTGTCGTGCGCCGATCGGTCTGCATGGCGCCGATGCATCTCTAACAAGCCTGTTGTGTTTGGCGCTGTCGCGCTAGCGTTACTGGGAAAGATGAGATGTATTCAGTGACGTAAGACCTGGCTCTGTGGTGGCTCTCTAGTGCGTGGAAAGGCAAACAGGTTCTTAGAAGGCTCGCCAGTTGAACCAACTCCGAACCGGCAATAGCACTGGCTCTGAACTAGCACCCGGTTCATGCTGGTGGAAAAGGTGTAATTGAGGAAACCACAAGCACTTTTCAACAATTAAACAGGTAGACACGTTTTAAGTTAGAGAATGTTGAACGAAGTTTGTAATACATTTGACACCGAAACACTTTAGAGAAAGCTCTGTTCTACCCAATATCTACTCTAGCACAAATTTATGCCTTTTTCCTTCAGGCATCCTTGTTTGACTGGCCACTAAAAAACACCAGCAAAATACTGCTATCCTAAATACGTTTTCACTTTGACAGCTGCCATCTGTCATCTTTATCTAAGCAGTGTGTCGGGTATAATCCACACAGTTTGACATGCAGGACATTCAACATGTTCATGGTTGTATAGTAAAGCCAGATGGATGGCTTTACGAAGTCTAAGAAATATTAGTTTCCTCTTTTTATTCATAAGGATTTTTTACTCTAAATAGGTTTCCAATTACAATTTGAACTCAAGCTGACAATAATTACTGTGACCTTTGACAGCATCTTGGAAACCACAATTTCAACCACACAAAACCGCTATTTCATTAAATCACTGAATAGTTTAAGTTATGCCAAGCTAACATTGCCCTCTGAAACCATATTCCATCTTTTCTAGATATGAATAGAAAATGTTTCTTTTATATAAAAATGTGTTAATATAATAATAAATAATAATGATAATAATAATAATACAGGTGCATCTCAATAAATTAGAATGTCGTGGAAAAGTTCATTTATTTCAGTAATTCAACTCAAATTGTGAAACTCGTGTATTAAATAAATTCAATGCACACAGACTGAAGTAGTTTAAGTCTTTGGTTGTCACATTTAACAAAAACCCACCAATTAACTATCTCAACAAATTAGAATACTTATTAAGACCAATAAAAAAAACATTTTTAGCCTTCTGGAAAGTATGTTCATTTACTGTACATGTACTCAATACTTGGTAGGGGCTCCTTTTGCTTTAATTACTGCCTCAATTCGGCGTGACATGGAGGTGATCAGTTTCTCTATGAATATCTAAAAATACATAAACTATATATACTCATACATATGTTTTGTTTGCATTTAAAGTGGACTGAATGTGTTGCCAACTCAAAAATTAACATTCCCAATATTCCTAATATGATGCCATTTAATATTTAAATACTAATTTTTACGAGTTGGGAACACTTTTCTGTGGCAACACTTTAATTGGAAAAAAAGTAATGTGTATATAAAGTTTATATATTTAAGAAATTTAAAAATGTTTATAATAGTCATTATTATTATTACTATATAATTGTATTATTATTATTACTATATAAATATCCAAAAAATACATACATAGAAACTAAAAACATACATGTTTTTGCTTGCATTTAAAGTGGAGTGAATGTTTCCAAAGCAAAAGTGTTAACCAAAAATAAAAATCTTAAGAATGAGCAGCCTCAACTCATAAAACAGGACCAGCACGACAGGTTTTACTCCGCACAGTAATGCAAAACATCAACATCAGCTAAACAAAGAATTTCAAACAATCTTCTCATTACAGAGAAAACTACCACCAACACCTCACCACAGTACAAACCTGGTTTTTCAGAGAGCCTCAGGTTATTCTGGTGTTTACATACACAAGGCAATTCACTTTTAACAAAGTAACAGGTAAGTGTTGACAGTGACCTGTTTTGCCTCGACTGAGCTGCTATTCACACCCAAAGAACACACTGACTTCTCACACCAAACCTTTTGCATGTATGGAGGTTCCCCCTTAAGAACATCATAAGTGATAGCCTACTTATTAGACATGACAGCGAATGGCAGCATGGTTTATAAAAACACCCTATTCATTGCAGCTAAATGGGGAAACACCTTTCCGCCAAAGACTTTTAAACACTTACTGGAAGTGTGAAATGCAATTTAATTTGGTTGAGACCCTTTATCAGTAAAACGAGGACAAAAATGAACTTTGATACAGTCTGTAGGGCAATATTTGTGTGATGGGATAAACTAGCCATCAATGTTTGATGAGTGAATTTGCAGAGCACAAATGTTGGTAGCCTGCCACTGGTTTTATAGGCCAATTTGTGCATCTCCCATCCATTCCACAGGGAGCTATTAGAGCAAATGAAACTAATCTTACTAAAAACATTTTCCACCACACTTCCTAAAGCAGCTCACATCCTCCATAACTACAATAGAGCATTGCTTTATTAATCCCAGACAGCCAACGATGAAGCAGAAATTAAACTGACGAGAACCTAAACAATGCATTTCAACAATATATTTAAGGACGCAACAGTTGCTTGTATCAGGAAAACAAATCCAGTGCTCGTACGTACCGGTGGACTTCCATTTTTGAAGACAGGGTGCATCTTTCATTCAGTATGAAGCCGGACACCTTGCATTGTGCTGCAGACTGGAGCTGCATGGCTTCCCCCGGCTCCGACGCTGCAGATTCGATCCCGATCACACTCGCCTATTCATCGCGTTCCCCCTATTCTGAATGCATCGGTGAATCATTATTTAGAGATGGGCGCAAGTCAGCGGTGCTTCTCCATGCTGCTTGCGTACACAATCCCGCTTTTCACAGTGCTGGACGGTAACCTGGCAACAGGCATTTGAGCGCTCACAGTTGTTAAAGGAGATCACGTTTGGGAAGATGAAATTGCTACGCTGTTTTAATACTGCTCAACTGAGCAGGCTTTTTCCCGCCCTGCCTCTCTCTCTTTCCCCCTTGCTCTGGTCTTTCCTACCCCCACCCTCCTCTCTTTATTCTGTGCTGCTCCGTTTCAATAGTGATTTATCTTTGCTGGCTAAGCTTTGTTTTGAAGCAGCATGTGCAAGCAAGCATCTGTGTAGAATGAAGTAAACATTATTTCAAATGGAGGATACGCAGAACGCTAAATATTTAAGTAGCTTTGATCTTTGAGGTAATAAAAAAGCAGAAAACTCGTATTTTTGGCCTTATGTGACCTCTCAGGTCACAAACATACTTTAAAGGGGTCATATGACGTTGCTAAAAAGAACATTATTTTGTGTATTTGGTGTAATGCAATGTTTATGCGGTTTAAGGTTCAAAAAACACATTTTCCACATACTGTACATTATTGTTGCTCCTCTATGCCCCGCCTTTCTGAAACGCGTCGATTTTTACAAAGCTCATCAGTCGGAAAAGCGAGGTGTGCTAGTGTGTGACAAGCCCCTTACCATACTGTGATGCCGTGTCCCAGCCAGAGCGACGAGACAAAAACATTAAAAACATTAAACAGGCTTTGTGTTGACAAACATGCGACGCGGGCAGTGGAATAGGTAAAACATGCAAGAAGATGGGAGTGAACTTATTTTAACTTGAATGCAGTGTTTTTAGAAAGCCGTTTCGTGCATGAGACGCTGCAAGAGACGCGAGCGCAACAGTCAAACACATCCATGTTTA